CAAAGCATTTTACCTCAAAGAATTTGAAATTCTTCAAATAAATGAATTACCTTATATAAATTCCTCATCCAAACACACCATTAAGATATCGAATAATTACAAAGTCACAAGAAGGGTATTAAATTGTGACCTTGTTTGGTCTAAACTTACACACTTTAATAAACTTTTTCTGAGATTGTTTCCTCAAAATGTCTCCTAGCCTATCAAAAGATTGTTAGGAATGAGGAATTATATTTTACCCACTTGAACAGGTCATGTATAAGAAGATAAATAAAATAAATATCTAGAAGGCATATTAACAACTCTATTTGTTAAAAAGTGTTTCTAGAAACTATCATAATATTTTCCTAATATAGAAGGTTTCAAAGTTGCTTTTGAAAGAGTAAATCAAATTTGTTTCTCATGAAACTCTATATTTTTAATAAATAACTTAAATGAAACTTGTTTCAACGATTAAAACATTGTTACGGGGTAAAATGATAGATTCTGAAACCAAAAGACTAATTCAAGAGTTAAAAAACCAGTAAAATCAAGTGCAACAACTATAGGAGAAGGGGAAATATTAATAATACCGCACACAGAATTTTAATTAATATATTGATTCATCCATAAATCACTTCAGCTACATCAAATCGTATATTAACTTAGTAGATACTATCAGTGTAATCGTTCTCAAATTATAGAAAGTATTCTTAATTTCTCAAGTATCTTAAAGCTCAATTCTCAACACTAACTCACTCATTTAGCTTGATATAAGCCTTTTAACAAAACTAATCCACCTAATTAGCCTTTACAATACCTTGATGTTCTTCAAGCTTAGGTATTCCAACTTTTTGCTATTTCTATCACTCAATGAGTGAAATATACAGTGTATTATGACAAAGTAAATAATATCAAAAGTATAGTATTGGTGTCTAATAAGTAAATGAATAATATTATACTCTCTTTTTTATAATACAATGTTAAAAATAAATTAGTAAATTGAAAGTAAGAATAATAATTATCGTTCATATGATATTAAAAGTTAAATAAATATAATATTAAGTTATATGTAGTTATCTTATATATAAAACAATAAATAAATTACTCAAATGAATCACACACTTAAAAAAATATAGTTATCTTAATTTAAAACAGTATTTGTTACCTTAATTAATATTCTTCATTTTATTAATCATGTCAACATTGAACTAATTAAAATTATTGATAAAGATTAAAAAAGAAAACTAAAAAAAGCCAAAAACCTAAAAATAAAAAATTGCAAAAACTAAAATTAAATAAAATCATATTTACACATATTTAAGGCTTCAAAAGATTTCATGAGGATCAAATTTTCAAAGCACGGTTATTCACTAAACTTCTATTAATTAATATATAAGCCAAAAATCACTTCGAGAATGATATATAACTCTTAGAAACCACTAAAAAATAGGTTAAAGAAACATTTTATTTTATTTGCGAGAGAGAAAAAAAATAACATCATTAAGAAAACATTGTAATGGTTCTCCTAACCTCCAAAATATAATTCAAGAAAAAAATACATGTATGAAGAGTTAAAAAAAAAATTAAGAAGACTTGTGACACTGGCTAAGAAGATTTACGAAAAATTAAAAAAAAATGCAATTATTTTCAGCTCGTTATGTTTGAGGATTTAAGAGATGTGTTTAAAAAATTATAAATTAATGAATTACAAATTAAAGTAATAAAACAATTATGATTTAACAGGGGAAAAAAGGGTCTAAACATCAGTGTCAATAATATTTGCAGAAATTTAAAAAAAAAAAAATCACTTGTAGCAGCCATCATTGTTTATGGCCACGTTTGCAGTTTAGCTGCTTCACATCCAAATTTTGTAACAATTTAATTAAGACCTATTTCTACTTGATTGAATATGTGATAATGATATATATATAAATAAATGGGGCTTGTGGCGACCATAATGTTTATTATCATTCATTTTCACTAAAATCTCGTTAATTATACATCCACCAAACAAACTCCCTCGTAGTCATGGCAACGGGGCGGGGCGGGTTTTACGTTCCCCGCCCCTACTCTGATTTTATCAATCGGAGAAAATTCGAACTCGAACTCGAACTTGATAAACACGAGTTTTTCTCATCCAAATCGATGCGGGTTCGAGCGAGTACCCACAACGGCGGGTTAGATTGCCATGCCTACTCCCTCGTCTTTCATTTTTCAATTAATTTGATTTTGTTGCCAAATAGATGTTAACATCTAGTTAGTTCAACCACCCGAAAAATGTTCTAACTTAATAGTTATTCCTCTTTGAAACATTCCTTGTTTCATTAGGGTGCGTTATGTATTTCATTTTTAATTTTTAAAATTATTTTGTAACATAATTCTAAAATGAAATAGAAAAAAAATGGCGAAAAAAAAATTGAACCGTATAATCATGAGTTTTAATTTTTATTTAAAAAATAAAATATATTTTAAAAATAATTTTCAGAAATTACTCTTATTAACATTATTTTTTTTAGTTTTTAAAAACAGAAAACGACTTTTGTAATAAACGCTCATTATCACAAAAAGTTTTTTTTTATATATTTTTTAAGTAACAGAAATACAATAT